ACATGAGCTGCTGGTGCGCGGCCTCGGCCTGGTGCAGCGCCGTCCCGCCCGCCTCCCGCTCGAACTCCCGCCGGTTCTCGGCAGCATCTGCGGGGGCAACAGCGTCAGTGCGGCCGCGGGACGCTCATCCGCACACAAGGGAAGGAGGCGCGCGAAGGGAAGAGCGGGGCTGCGAGCGGGGCGTGCAGCAGCGGCATGCGGCAGGAGCAGGGATGGCGGGACGGGACCTTCTGACTCCGATAAATGGAGTTGAGTTGACTGACAAGCTGGTACACGCCTGACATTTTTGCAATTGTGTAACACTAAACAAATACAGACTTCCCTTTATTTTGTAGGCCCGGAGTGCGCTGGAAGAAAGGCTTTCGGTTGTCTTTGCAGTTGTTTGCTCTGGGTAATGGAAAAGCAGTCAATGGGCAGAGGTGCTGTTCGACCTGACTGCAGCTCCTGAATGGAGTGGGTCGGCCCTAAGCACACTGCCGAGATGCCTTAAAAGGGCAATGTGAGAAAGAACCTGTGGCCAGCCCTGCATCTCTGCCTGAACAGCTGAGTTTGTTGCCAAAAAGTCGAAAATAGGACTCTAAAGGCAAGGCACAGTGTTTCTTAAAGCGGCAAATTTTCTTGAGCATATAACAACAGTAAATGTTGTAGTCCAAGGGAGAATTAATTAGGCCATGAAGGTATTTTTCTTTAAAGAATAAGTAGTAGCACAAAGCTCATTAGCAATGGGGCTGTGCAACAGCGTGGCGAGCAAGGCCCCAAGCATGAATTCATGGGCCGTGCAGGCCAGCAGGGTCTGGGTGATGGGCTAGCCTGGCCACCGAGGGGGTCTCACCTTTCTCTGTCCCGTTCTGGTGAGCTGGGGAAGAGACTGGATTCCGGGATCTGGCAAAAGCGCTCATGAGAGGAAGAGCCCCTGGCCTGTGGTTCCTGGGCCTGGAAGAGGAAGGGAAGAAGTGATACAGAGCTGATGGTCCAACAGGATGAGCAATTGGAGTATTGCCTATGTGAGCTGCAGCTGGTAAATGGGGCCCAATACAGTATCCCCCTCCATGAAGCCTTGTGCAAATGTAAGCTGGGCAGATATATGTGAAATAGGGTGAGTGTGGTACTGCCATAATCAATAAAGGCATAGCCTTACCAGTCCTCAGGGTCGCAGTCTCTGAATCCCTTGGCAAAAGGATTACTTGCAATCTTCAACTGTGTGATCTGTAAGGAGAAGTGGTAAAACGTCAAAAAAAGGCAGCACACGGGGCTCCCTGGCCAAACAGCGAGTGTTTCCCTGAGCAGGTTTTGGGACTCAGCAGTGCTTGGTATAACAGAGAGGGTCCAGGTGGCTGGTGGCGCCAGGGTGTTCTTTGCCACAGAGCACAAACATATTCTTTCCCTCTGTTAGAAAATGTAGGTTAATATCTAATATGTAAGTAATATGTAGGTAAATCTGAGTTCAAGGCGAAGGGAGAGGCAGTCTGTGTCGGCTGCAAAAGCTGAGTGAATGCACTTGTAAGAAAATGTCACATTATATGGGTCACCACTGGAGCAGTTTAGACAAATCACTGGATAAATCATACTTATGTATTTATTTAATTCGCCAGGGAGAAGGCAGGACATTTTCTATATTTAAGCAAATCCACGGATAAAGTATGTGATTGTGAGTTTCCGGAATGGGTTGAAAAACAAACTTTAAGCCCCTCAGTGACAGTTCCAGCCTTAGAGGTCAAACTGATAGAAAGCAGGAGAGAAAGAGCAGCTGTCCGGAGCCATCAGGAAAATGCCAGCCGGGGAGGGACTCCAGAGCCCCTTAAAGGCACAGACTTTCTCTGGCCTCACCGCCTCCACCGGGGCGAGGTGCGGCCCAACCGCAGCATCCCGGAGAGACCTCAGGTCAATTTGCTCAAAGCCAGTGCAGAGGGTGACACTGCCGCTGGCTGCTCGGGGACAGTCCCGGGACACAGCCCCGGCCTGGGTGACATCGTCACGGAGCGAGGCGGTTCAGAGCAGCACTGAAAAGCCCCGCTATGAAATCGTATTTCCCCTCGCTTCTGGGATTCCTGCTCTTTACATTACACTGATGCGATTTAAAGAAGCAATTGGATTAACTGCTGCCCAGAGATCCTCATCAGATTGGGGTGGGGGTGTTTTGTTTCGTTTTGTTTCGTTTTTAACGTATAATTGTATTCTGAGAAGAGACAGACCGCTACGAGCTTAAAGCAGTAAAATCGCAGATTTATCCAAACAAATTGTGAGTGACATTTCACAGCGGGAAGTCTGTAGTTTCCCCACTAGCCCCGGTCTCGGGTTTACATAGGTAATGAGGTCCCCCGGGCGGGGGGAAGCTGGCGATGGGGCTAGAGCCCACGCTGCTTCCTCGGCGTACACCGGTGCAGTTCGCGCAGCTCCCCGGCTATCGGGTTCCTTGCGCTGCCCGGAATGGGTTTAGCAGATGGGGAGGAGGAGGCGGGAGTACCCCCAGCTACCGCCGCCGTCGGACACCCGCAGCCCGGCCTCTAACCCCGGAGCCGGACGCACCCATGGTACCTCCGGGGCGACCCCAACCCCCGCTTTCGATTGCCCCGAGCTCCGCTGCTGCCTCACCCGGTGGTTCTGGTAGGCGGTCACTGCTGTGAAGCGCGTCTCCTCGAAGACGAAAGTTTTGAAGTTCTCCTCCGCGTACTTCTCGCTGTCTTTCCGGGGGTCCACGTAGACCACGTGAAAACGCGGCTGGTATCTGTGCATGGAGTTCAAAATGATCTGAATGATAAAACGAGCAAGGAGACAATAACTGATCCAGGCCGAGCATGGAGAGAGGAGAGCGCAGCCCCTGCCCTGCCGGCTCCACTGCCCGGGGCAGCCGCGGGACTGGGACAGAGCCCCCGGCGAGGGGCGCGGGCAGGGTCCCCCCACGGGAATCTCAGCACGGGGAGTTCCCACCCGGTGCAGCCCCGTGTTGGGCATCTTCTCCCGGGAACACTTACATGGCCGTTGTCATCCAGCAAATTGTTGGTCAGTTTGAGCTTATCGAAGGAAACGATCTGCTTCATCCACTGCGCTCCTTTGGCCGGGGAGTCCGGGTGGTAATGGACTCTCCCGGGGGTGGCGGGGTCGGCTTTGCCGGCCACCAGCCAGGAGGAACTGTGGAAGGCGTACCTGCGGGAGGGGAAGGCACCCTCATCCGCGGCCCGGGGGACTCCCGCCCGCTCCCTGCAGCACCGCCCCGAACGATTGCAGCAGCCGCTCCCCGCAGAACCCGGCCCGGGACGCTTCCCCTGGCCCACCGAGAGGGAAGCACCGCCTCTCCATCACTCCCGCTTCCTACGGCCACGGGACGAACGAGCTCTTTTCCGCAGCCAGAACTGCTGCGGAGGGGATATAATATTTTAACAGCTCGGCGATGGAACTGTCGTGAGAGAAATCTGCAGGATGGAGGAAATTTATAGCTACCCGTGTACATTTGGAAGAGAAGCCACAAAAGCTTCCCCCTTCCTCTAAAAAAGGGTGAAAAAGAGCCCTCTATACAGTAATATTGTGGCGTTAAATGAAGACTGGAAAGTTGTGTGTAGATTAATAGCAGGTTCAGAATTTAGCAGTCTTGTTTCATTCTTTCAAAGTACATATTCAATAGTAACGTTTAAAACAGAGAAACCAATCTTCTATACACGTGTTTACTTTAAAAGCCAGTGTTTGCACAGGGGGAATTAGACACCATTGGACTTGAGCAGAAACATTACTTTTTAAAGATATACTCAATTGGATGTTATATATCCTACTTCCCTTGACAAGCAAACATTTCTAGGACGCCCTGAGAATTTGGATATCTGTCTAAATATTTATATATCGGACCCTGCGATTCCTATGTGGGCTGCCTGCTCGGCGTCCTGATCTGAAGCTAAATACATAATGTGCCTTTCACTGTCTTAAAATTAAAGGAGTTCCAAACCAGACTGCGTTGCTGCCTTGAGAGTCAACAGTTTCCAAGGCCTTCCTACAGTGCTGCTGCGAACAAGGATAGGGTTTTGTGGCTCGGGTGGCTGGTGTCTTTCCAGAGCACAAAACCCACTCTCTTCACCCAAGCACCCAGGAAGTTCCCCAGCAGGCATGACACAGCTTCAGGGCATGTGCTGAGAGGCTACAGCCTCAAGGAGCACTGAGGGAATTTTTGTTAAGTGGCAAAGGGTGTCTGCCATTGGAGATGTGTAGCAGTACGACAAGGAGAGCTTTTCTGGGCAGCACAAGGCAGATCCTGCCCTGTGCCCTGTGCCCTCCTGCCCATGCCGGTGTGGCCCCGGCCGCCTGTGAGCCTGGTGCAAAGGCTGAAGAGCCCCTGCGGTCCCGTGCAACCGCTCCTGGCCCCAGACTCGTTGCAAATGTGTGAAAGAGACCCCAGGTCAGGCGCATCCTGTGTCCCCTCCCTGACTTGCACCGACAGGTGTCACGCCCAGAGGGACATCCCTGAACCCCCAGAGGGCAGGAGCAGGGGGTGGGCAGCGACCCACCAGCCCCTACGGCTCCGAGAACCGCGGGACAGGCCAGGTATTTGTTACTTGCCGGTATCGCTTGTCATCCACCGGGACGAAATCCATGAGGAGCATGTAGTCAGCCATAGGGTCCATCCCGAATATCTTCACCTGGAAGGTGGGGAACATGCGCCTGACACAGAGAGGAGAGAGACGTGCTAAGCTGAGGGGCAGCAGGGAGCCCCGAGGAGCCGGTATGGTTCTCTCCCCTCCAGCTACACCGACACCCGGTTGTGATGACAAGTCCCTTAGCAGAAACCACTGGCCGGAGGAAGAGGCAGATACGCTCAAGCTGCTTGGGGAGACTGGCTGCCGTGTTCCCCAGCCCTCGGCAGCATCCCGAAAGGCGAGCCGAGAGCGTCCTGCCTCTCCCGCTGGCTCCGGGACCACTTGTATCAGACACCCGAAATGTCCCAGCGTGGTGGGACAGAGAGAACAGGGGGAACAAGAGCAACCTCGGCCTTTGTTGTGGGGAGATAAAGTGAAAAGAATTTATTCCCTGTGGTTTCCCCATCATTTTAACAGACCTGACTGGAGGCAAATGCAAGGCATTACCCTGTCTGCGGACCCGCACTCAATGCTCAGGAGTCTCAGCCAGCCCTGTGGGGGTCAAATCTAAAAATTCCTGCAAACGACACGAGGTGATCGAGTTCCCACCTGAGCAGCTTCTGTACCCACCAAACTGCGCCCGTTTGAAAGCAGTGGTTACAGCAGCAGCCCCTAGAGCCAGCGGGAGACCTCTCCCAGCCCAGAGGGGCGAACGCTCCCCCTCGGTGGGCATGGACTAGAGGGCAACGGGGATCTCCCAGAAAGCCCCGTCCCGGATCCATTTCATTGCGAGAGTCCGGTCGGGCTCCCGCTCCCCGCACCTTTGCGGGACGAAAAGCAGAGGCGAAAGTAGCCCAGGGCTCTGGAGTTGGGCAGGCCAGCCCCCGAGGCTGCTCCCCCCGGTTCTTCTCTGCGCAGGCCCCCGGGAACCCAAAGCTAAGGCGAAACGCGGACCCCACGCTCAGGGAGGGCACGATTCCTCCAAGGGGCTGCAGTACAACTGCGATCGGCTGCGGGCTAAGCGAAGAAGCCGGGACGGTCCCCCCGTCCCTCCGTCCTGCATCTGCACACACCGGGCCCAGGGTCTGTCCCGTGGCTGCCCGGCGGGACTCGCCGAGGATGTGCCCTGGCGTCGGGGCCCGTTATAGCTTCGTTTTGTTTTACGGAGTAGTAAACCAGGCGAGAGACGGTGGGCAGTATTTCAGGAAGGGTGTTCGCAGCCATTGAAATACCAAAGTCCCAACCGCCCCCTGAACAAACAACCCGACGAAACCCGGACACAGAGAGCCCCCCCGGCTCGTTCTCTGTTGTTATGTGCCCCTGCCCCCCTCTGAGGGGCGATCGGGCAGCGCGCTGTGGCTAGCAGCTCTCCCAGATCGGGCCCAGCACTGCCGGGCTGCACCGGCATCGCTGCGTCTCCCTCTCTGTTAGGCTTTAGCAAACTCTGGAGGACGTTTTTAGTAGCTCCCTCTGTTATTATTATTTTTAAACGTGTAAAAGCCCTCATTAGCTCCAATTCCGGTGTTTCTTATTCTAAAACTTAGTTTTAAAACAAACAACCTGAGACGATAAGACCCATCTAGACAAACAGAAGGGCCAGCCCAGAGGTGCTGGGAGAGAATAGGCTTTGCAGCGCCTTCCCCGATACTTTTCCTGCTGGTTTTACCCCGTTTTCTCCTGTTTTTGCTCGCCTGTTTGGAGTTTCGACGGTGTCATAAAGTAAATGAAGCAAAGGGTGGGAGGAAAACCCCCGCTTCAATTCGAATTGGTTAGTTTCCGCAACCTTTTGAAGTGGGATATTTGCAATCCTTTCGCTCTTCTTGAAAGCCAAGAAAGCAGATCGAAGAACTCGTGTTTGCAGAGAGCCTCCTCCTGGAGCCTGAACGACCTTTTCCGCTAAGGAAAGCACCGCGGAGCCCGGCGCCGGGCTCCGGGGCCGCGGCCGGAGACAGCGGGCTGTGCGACCCGGCGCCGTCTGCGGGAAATTCCGGCCGGTTCCCGCAACGCAGTGCCGGCTGCTTTTGCATCGGGCACCGCGGTGGTTGTTTTATTTTAGGAAATTGCTAGTATATATTTAAAAAAAAAAAAAAAAAAAAAAAAAAAAGGTAGCTGCGTACATGTAAGTATGTTTCATTTTTCTTTTTTTTTTTTTTTTTGCGCTTTCGGGACCCTCAAAATCGCTAACAGGAGAGCGGGAGCGCACGGCCGCGGTCACAGCTCTTGCCCAGACCGTTTGCAGCGGACTCTGACTCTCTCCCCCGGCCATCCCGCCGCAGTCGGCCCCGGGGCGAACTGCGAGCAAGCAACGGGGGATTCCTTAATTTGCTTGTTTTTCATTTCTACCCCCCCGCCCCACTTCGCCGAATCGGTTTAAACCAAGGGAAGACTCAGAGCCTGGACAATTCGCAGCTCTGCCCAGAGCCTGGCGGGGAATAAGTTTCACAGCTCTGCCCGAGCCGCCGCGGCGTTTCCCGGGGATCTCCATTAAATGCAATAACTAACAACTGTAATTGGGACTCCTCGTCCCCCCACATGTTTTGCTCGTTCCTAACCCTATCGCATCAGCCTCTTTCTTTGTTCCCTGGCCAGGAGCAGGGTGCTGGCCCCGGAACCGCGCCGCGGCGGTCGGAGCAGAGCCGAGAGGAGCCTTGCTCAGCCGGGCTCCTTACTCGATAATCGGGAAATGCAACAGCCCTGGAACACATTTCAAGGTGTAGAATTAGGGTCTGTTCGCGTCTCCGCCGGAAGGAAAACATCTGCCCGTGCTAAGACTGTATTTAGCAGGTTTTGCACGGTTTGCGTGCTGTTTCTTTCTTTCCCCCGTATCGTTGCTGTCCGCCCCGGGAGCACACACTGTCCTCCGTAAACACGGATCGAAGTCCCGTGTGGGGTCACAGCCGAAGGCGCCCGGAGGAGCACAGAGCCCTTTCCAGCGGGAGTGAAACCCAGTGCCCTGCCTGCCGTCCTCCGCCCGCAGCAGCAGCGGCGCGTTCTTCCGCAGCACCGAGGCCTTCGGGCCGCAAGAGCTCGCAGATTTCGCCCCAGGAGAAGCGCAAGGATCAAATGACAGCGACCGCAGGGTCGGGTCGCTCCGCGACTCGCCCTTGGGCAGCAGCTTCAATCTCCCCCCAAACTGAGAATTCAACCGCTCGCACCGGACTCTCCCGCCCCGACTGGCCTGGGTGCCCGGGTCCGGAGGGAGAGGCTTGGAGAGCCGGGGCCGCTCGGGAGCTCCGCACTGACCTGCCTGCCTTGGTGACGATCATCTCGGTGCCCAGCTGGTTGAACTCGTCCCACAACGCCTTCATCTCTAGCTGGACGCTCACGTTGGCCACCTTCGGGTTCTTCTTCACCGGCGCCTTGGCCGCGGCGG